TAAGGGAACACAGAACGGAGGATTAGGGAAGGCATTTCTGTAGGAAACGCTAACTCTAATGAATCAGAAAGAGGTAGCCAGGCAAAGCAGGCTGGAAAAAGTTTTCCTGAAGGGGAAAGGGCAGGTTTGGCCCTGGTTTCATTATGCCAGGATTAGCGGATGGCAGGGGAGGGTGGTGAGAGAGAAGGTTAGTCCCACGATTAAGAGATTCCTAGGCAAAGCTCAGTTAGTTTGCATTCTATCCTAAAATTAATGAAGAGTCGTTTTTAAGCAGAGTAGCATTGTTAGGGTATTTGTCATGGAGAAAGATCAATCTGAGAGCATAATGGGGGACTGGTTGGGTATAGAGTGGCTAATCCTAGCCGCAAGAAGACCCATTAGAGAATGTGGTAAATAATTCAAGTAAGGGAAGATAGGAGTCTGAACTAAGGCCATGATATTAGAAAGGCAAGGGAGGGGAGATAGAATGAGTAGATACCTACATTTGATAGGACTTGAGGACAAATTGAAAGTGGGGGTTGAGAGAGGAGGAGCAGAAGGTAATGACCAGGTTACTGTCTCAGGCCGCTGGGTATGTGGTGGAGCCATTCATCAAAGAGGGAGCATAGGAAAGAGTGGTCTGGATGGGGTGAGGTAGGCTGGAGAAGAGTCCATTTCCATTTGAAGTTTGAGGTGTCTGCTGGGCATCTGATTAGAGATATTAATAGGCAATTGGGTGTATGGAACTGGAGCTCAGGAAAACCATTTGGGAAAGAGAAGTAGATTTGGTGGCATCTAGACACAAGTGATAATGAAAGCCACTTCAATCTGAGATGGCTATATTCATATGTACTTGGGGCCAAGTTATTTTAAAATATCAAGAAAGTGCTTGGGAAGGTCAGCTTAGTGACTAGACAGCAAGGGTGGTTGGTGTTCTTACACTGTGGGGAAGGAACTCATTTCTCATCCTGTTATCCCTACTCCTTAATGTTTTTATGTGATCAACCTACTGCTCTACGAGGAATCATTTTGGAAGGGAAAGGAAGCAAGATTAGAAGCAGGCTCTAACAGGCTGGCCTTTTCTTGTTTCATCTAAAAGTCTTCAGTATCAAATGCCAAACCAAACTAAAAGAAAAACCACTCCAAAATTCTCCCAGACCCCAGGCATGTGCATTAGAAGAATGAAGGTGGACAATAATTCAGGGCATAATTCTCTTCTATGAATCTGATTATTAGTAGCACAGATACATTAAAAAATCAGGTGTACGTTAGGTTATGAATTAACCCCTTCATACTAAACATACTGAAATAGTAGTCTAAATATAAAAAGAGAGAACCAAAAAAAGAGAGCAGTGGGCTCAAAGGTAAGATGAAATCTCTTTGTACCAGAGAAGGAATATAAATGCAAAATAGTAGATTCAAGCCACTCGCCTGCTTTGCTCCAGGCCTAGTTGTATGTAGTGGTGGCTGTGAGTTCAATTTGTTTACCGTAGTAGGAACTAACAAGTTTCCTATGAGACCTGGGCTTAAACCTGGCTTACAGGTTAAAACAGGAGTTAGAATGGGAATCTCTGACCTTACAGACATCACCTTCTGACCAGGAACTCCCCCTGGGCAGCCCATTGGATTGCTGATGGGATCTGCATTGTATCACCTCCAGGAATACTATAACGTCCTGTTCCACCTCCAGGAGTACAATAACGACTGAATTGCAGGGTGGGAGCAGGGGCAGTTAGTTAACCAAAGAACTACAAGACTGTAAGAAGTAAGGAAAAGGGAGAAAGTGAGGGAACGAAGAAACAAAACAAAAATACAAAGTACATGGATAAAATGAATGCTGAAAAGGACGGTAAACACAATCAACAATTAGAATGTTATTTGCTTCAGAGAATATTAATTTTATAGAAAAGTTTGACAGTTTTTAAAATCAGTATGTTGAAGATACTCAGAAAAATAAATGAAGACATCTCATAAAAAATGATAAATTAGGTAACACACAGGAAGACGTGAAACAAAAGAGGTTATGAAAAGAAAAAAATTAGAAATCTTAAAAACAAATCATTTTTAATTTAAAACTGAAGTAACAGATGGGTTGAAGACACTAAACACAGAGAACTTAGACACTAAACACTAAAAATTAGAGAAGTAGAATAGAGTACTGAGGAATTAACCTAGTATATAATCAAAGAGATAAAAATATAACAGAGCAGGTAGGAGACAGAGATTGAGATCATAGATTGAGAAACTCTTAAGTTACATAATGAGGAATCCTAGAAAAGGAGACTGGAGGGGAGAGTGGAGGAGCAACACAGGAAGATCTAATAGCTGAAGAATTTCTAATTTACAAAAAGACATTGGGAGTTATTTGTTTTTTATTCATTCATTCATTTGGTAACCACTTAATGAGCACTTACAATGTATTATATTCTAGACTAGGAACAGTGGATACAAAATTAATGTGGTACAATCCTTGCCCTGAGCATCTCACAACTAGGAGAGATGGACATGTCTCATTAAAACATAATATAAAAGAACTATGCTAAGCAATCTTTTACAGAATCAAGAAGAAGGAAGAACATTTCTGGGAGGACTAAGAAAAGCTCCCCAGAGGTGATGACATTCAAGCTGGACCTTTACATTGAGAGTTCCTTAGAATTTTGTTCTCCAGGAAAAGGAAATGCATGGACGAAAGGCACAGAGGCATGAAAGAGCATGACATTTGGTGGCTGCTGAGTGGTTCTAGGTTCTAGAGTGCATGGAAGCAGAGCTGAGACCATAAGCTAAAAGAAAGGACTGGGAAAAGAACTTAATCACCTTTTAAAAATAGGAAATCATATATTTTTTTAAGAAACTTCTTTTAAAAGTATTTAATAGATTTCAATGTATACAAAGGAGAAAAAGTCTTAAACCCATTCATATGCATGGTCATATCACTACATAATAAAATAACCTGAAATTTGGCAGGTGGATTATTCTTTAGAATATGCTAGCTTAATTTATAAGTTTACCGTCCAATTTTAGCTCCTGTTCAATTTTCACATTTGTGTCTAGCCCTGGGCAGCTAATGAGACCGGGCTGACATAATAACCAGTAAATAGCTCTGTATGCAAGGAGGAAAGAAAGGCATTTGTTGACATCTGTCTTCATGGCATGCTTCTAAAGTTTCATTTCCATTTATTTTCAAAATTGCTGAGTCATCAGATCAAATTTTCTTAATTTTGATTGACTTCATAGCGCAGTTATTGAGCATCTTTTGTGAATTGTGTATTTTGGAATCTTTTTTTGAAGTATAATTGTACATTATATTGATTTCAGGTGTACAACACAGTGATTTGACAGTTATGTACATTATGAAGTGCTTGTTGTGATAAGTGTAGTTACCATCTGTTACCACACAAAGATATTAAAACATTGACTATATTCCCTATGCTGTACTTTTCATTCTTGTGACATTTTTTTTTATAATCGAGGTCTGTACCTCTTTATCCCCTTCACCTCTTTCACCCATCCTTCCCTCCCTCCCCTTTGGCAACCACCAATTTGTTCTATTTATTAGTTTATTTCTGTTTTTTAAAAAATATTTCACATATAAGTGAAATCATATGGTATTTGTCTTTGTCTGACTTATTTCACTTAGCATAATACCCTCTAGGTCTATCCTTGTGGTTGAAAATGGCAAGATTCCATTCTTTTTTATGGCTAAGTAGTATTTCATTGTATATATGTAGCACATCTTTATGCATTCGTCTACTGATCGACACCTGGGTTGCTTCCATGTCTTGGCTATTGTAAATAATGCTGCGATAAATACAGAGGTGAATATATTTTTTAAAATTAGTTATTTTTTTTCTTTGGGTACCCAGAAGTGGAATTGCTGGGTCATATGGTATTTTTGTTTTAAGAAAAAACATAATATTGAAAGTTTTTTGAAGGACAAAAAAGTAAATGCACAGACTGGAGAGATATACAGAAGTCATTATGAACAGTGCATGTTCATATATATGATGACTCATGATAATAAAGTGTATTTTTCCCCCCAAAATAAATTCGATGCAATGCCAATAACAAGGTATTTTTTTTTAAATAAAATGAGGCTGCCGATAATAAAATTTATATAGAAAAAGTACTAGGAACAGCCAAGGTAATTTCAAAAAGGATAACAGGAATATGTCCTATGAGTTATCAATATTAATCTAATGAGCTTTACCAATTAAAATATTGTAGGAGGCATTTCTTTCTTAAATGTTGAGAAGAATTCACCCTGATCACCTTTCTTTGTCAAGCTTGGAGGATAATGAACAGATCTGAATTTTAGAAAGATCACTGGCCTGTTGCAGATGAGGGGCAGGTAGCAAGACCACAGTTGGGGTGACTTGTTGACTACTTCAGAAAGTTGCCTAAGAGATGCTGAGAATAGAGACAGAGACTTGAGTAGAGAAATGTTTAGGAGAGAGAATCAACAGACTTTGAAGTTTCCCTTTATGGTAGGTGGGTTGAGTGGGAGGCATGGGGAGGATAACTTCAAGGTCTCAAACCTGGGCAGTTGGTTGAACAGTGGGTTCATTAACAGAAAGAGTGAGTACTGGGGGTGTGCTTGCCCTTTGACATGCTGCTTTTAGGGATCTCTCAGACAGAGAAGCAAGTATCTAGAAAATAAGAATGGAGCTTGGGGAATTGTAGCATATGTAGTTGTTTAAGTAATGAAAATAAGTTTTGCTAGGCTGATTGTAAATTCAACAGCTAGAGAAGGAAGACAGAGCAGGGGGAACACTTCCTGGAGGAGATGATCTGGACCCTGAGGGATGGGAGGTATAAAGAGGAAGCAGTGTGGGACAGGAACAGCCTGGGTTAGAGGGCAGCTGCAGAAGCTGAGAGAGAGCAGAAGGTGCTGATGTTGGAGAGGATGGGCTAGGAGGTTGGCAAGCAAGAGGAACCTCTGAAGGTAGGAAAGGAGAGGGTTGAGCCTGAGGAAGAACTTCTTTTTTCCATTCACTTGTGCAGAGGGACAGTGACACGCTCACCTTTGCATTTCTCGCAAGTTGGGTGGCACCTCTCACATGTCTGTGTGCTTTGGTCTGCATAGTGATGCTCTGGGCAGGTGCGGTGACACTCTCCCCTGGAGCGCAGCAGAAAGAGGAGTGTATCACATGACAGGCAGTCTGTGTGCTGTGGGCCCCGGCACGCCTTGCAGCTCTTGCTGCACCGCTCACACCATCCAGTGGAATTTTCTGCATAATATCTGAAATCAATGCAGGGAGCAAGTACTGAATACTAAGCTTGGCTCCTAAATAGGATAATCTATAAAAATCACGATTAGTCAGACAGTGTTCATTCATTTACAAATGGGATAACTTTAGACTCTTTACTCATTAACTTTACTCAGTAGATACATTACTAATTATATTAATCTAATGATTCTCAGTTTTCTTACCTGTAAATCGGGCATTACAATCTTTTCCCTGCTGTTTTGTGAGGATTAAATTAGATTAACACATATGAAGGGACCTATGACTTCTCACATGTAGATGACAATTGTTTCTCACTACCTTGGCCTTCCATAGATCCATATGCTTTTCCACCTGAAAGTTCAGAGTGGTATGTCTAGATTGTGTGCAGTAACTAAACTTGTAATTGTGGATTTTATGAGCTCATGACAGATTGGAGAATTAGCAGGGTATGAATGGAGATGTTTAGTGGGACTTGTTTCTTTTGTAAAATCGATGTTCCACACACATTGCTTAGACCTCACATATTTAACCTGACCAGAACGGATCCTAAGCAGAAGAGAAAGAACCTACATTGACAGTCTTGAACTTCCCTAACGGAAGAATGGAATGCTTCACCTCTGCCTTGTGATTGCTTGTATCCTTTGAATTATTAGTGAATTTGGCACATGAGTCTGACTTGACAATCTGACCCTTTGTGTTGTCTCAGGACCATGGTCATTCTGCCTCTCCTGTTTCCTCTTCTATGACCATGAACTGCCTGAAATTCTGTAGAGACCCTTAGACCTGGACTGTCCTCTCCTTTCTGTTCCCTACTAGCAGTGAGACTTCTGTTGGGTTATGTAAGTGTTCTGTGACTTAGCTTCCTCATCTGCAGAATGGGTTTGCTTATAGCACTATTTGGAGTGGTTATGGGATTGAATGAGAGAAGTGCGTTGAGCACCTTACCCTTCCCTGCATTGCGGCAGGCACTCCTTTCCCAGCTGGAACCAGCCCGCCTGGCAGGAGAGGCACTGTGTGCTGCGTCTCCCTTCACATGTCCTACAAGAGCTGTGGCAGGGGGCACACCGGTGGCTGTCCTCATCAGCATAGTAGCCCTCAGGGCAGTCCTGCACGCAGGTTGTGTCTGCCAAGGGAGAAAAAGAGGCTGTTTTTGTATCAAGTATGACACATGTCTCTTAAACCTCCTCTTTGTGCTCCCCACTGTACCATGTGGGCTGTACCATCCCTGTGGGTGATGGGTATCCTTGGGAGCTAAGATTTATGTCCAAGAAATAGAATCAACCATTAAACCATTAGAAGTTAAGGGAAAACAGAGTTCAGTGTGGATGGCACTGGTAGGCAGGAGACAGAATCCACAGTCTGTCAATATGAGCCAGAGGATGTTCCAGGTCTCCCAGGAGGTGGTGTACATTTGAGGCAGGGACTGGAGCAGCAGAGTCAAGGCTATATTGAAGAAAACAAAATGCAGGGCCAACATGATGGCATGTTCCCACATTTTAGCCTTGCATGTGTTCCCTCCAGTATTTAACCTTGGTTCTGTTTTGCTGTCTACACAGGGTGGTTCTTGAAACTGAAATGAATTAAAATGAAATAAAATTAAGACTTCAGTTCCTTAGTGGTATGACCATAGATGTAGAACATTTCCATCATGACAGAAAGTTCTATGGACAGCAAGTCTCTGTTTTGCTCATGTATTTAACAAATAAGGTTAAAACCTTAAATCTACTGCTCTGTACAGCGAGATTGTTGTAGTGAGATTGTTAGAGTTGATTGTTAAACATCATACCACCCCAGTCCTTTCTCCTCCAACCCCAGTGGAATCTCTGATTCTGACCTTTTCTTCTTTAACAACACTTAGGAGTGAAAGGGGGTAAAAAACAGATTACTGGCTTCACAGTTTAGCACAGTGAAGTTCTTAGAGGCAACTTCTTCCCCAGTTTCTTCTGCTTAACCTCACAGAATGGAACCCAGGCTCTCCTAGGCCAAAAGCCAGTTTGTCTCTATAACTCGCATCAGCATTAAGCACAGGTCTGGTGGAAGAGCTAAGTTATATTAGAGCTGCTGTAAAAAGTGCTATGGACTCAAACTCAGTGCTGGGAGACTCTCTGGGCTCCTTGAGGGTGGAGGCCACGTCTGTCACCTCTGATTTTGTAGCACCTAGCCAAGTGCCAGGTCCCTGGTAAATGTTGTTTGCTGGTGATTTTGTTAAAGTTGGGTGTTGACAAGGGTTCACCATCCAGTTGAGGTAGATGGTTAACTAGGGAGAAGCCTTAATCCCCTAAAGATGAAACACTTCTTTTTTAGTTTCCTTTTGCTACTGTAACAAATCACCACAAATTTAGTGGCTTAAAATAATATAAATGTATTATCTTGCAATTTTGGATATCAGGAAGTCTAAAATGGGTCCATGGGGCCATCTTCCTTGAGAGACTCTGGGAGTAAGTCTGTGTCTTTGCCTTTTCCAGGTTCTAGAGGTTGCTGGCACCCCCTGGTTTGTGGCCTCCTGCTCTATCTTCAAAGCCCGAGCATAGCATCTTCTCTCTTTCTCTTCTACTGCTCTGATGTCACATAGCCTTCAACTACTCACTGATCATCCTGTTCCCCTCTTACAAGGACACTTGTGATAATCCAGGATAATCCCCCCAAATCAAGACCATTAATTTAATCCCATCTGTAAACTCCTCTTTTCCATATAAGGTAGCATATTCCCAGGTTTGAGAATTAGGATAGGGACATTTTCAGGGGACTGTTACTCAGTCTCCCACAGCCTGCAGAGGAGTTAGCTAGTTTATAACGAGCCTGACGCTGGTAGACTGATGGTGAGGGCGAGGGTGGGAGCATGTGAGGAGATCGGGCCTGAGCACATTGTGGGCCGAGCCCGTGTGGGACTGCAGCTTTGTTACACACACGGGCTGAGGTCTCTGTTCTGGCGTACTTCACATGCTTAGCTTAAAGGAAGACCACCTTGTGGTGATAAGACATCTTCCTGCCTGCATGAAGGCCCCTGAGGTGATCACTGGTCTCACTCTGAACTGGGGATAATTAGAAAAGAAGGCCCTGGGGGTTGCGATGATACACGAGATCTGGAATGTTCTCATGAAGCAGCAACTGCCGGGAAGGAAGGTCAGTGAGATTTGTGTAGGAGGAGCTTAAGATGGATGGATAGAGAAGATTGGCATCCTTGAGTGTTTCCTGTTGATGAGGAATGGTGTGGAGGGTAACTCAGGGCAATGATGTCCCTGCTGATGACACCTCAGCAAGAAGAGGACAAATCGCTGCACATTTCTATGCTGAGCGCCTTTCCTCTCAGGTCCACTGGGTCAGGGAGATGAATGCTAACACTTCCAGGCCTTCAGCACACCTGTCCCTTTCTTCCCTCTATTCTACTCCCCTCCACTGCTCCTCCTTTCAGTTGAGTTTTGTTCTATTTTCTTTCTCCCATACCTGTGGAAATTTTCAGGTTAGAAGAGGTTAAAGAGACATGACAACTAAATGCAATACTTGACTCTAGCCTGGACCCTGTCCTAAAGGGGAATTGATAGACTCATAATACAGATCGTATGTTAAAGTATCGTATCACTAACGCTGATAGCTGTACTGTGGTTATGTAGAAAAGTGTCCCTATTCTTAGGAAATACATGTGAAAGTATTTGTGGGAAAGGGACCATGATGTATGTAACATCCCCAGATGGTTCAGAAAAATATATTGCTGATTATGTATGCATATACACAGAGACGGAGAACAGGCAAACGCCAAAGCCAGTGGTTGGAAAGGTTAACAAGGGGGAAGTGGGTAAAGGGTACATGTGCAGTGTTCTCCGTCCTGTGCTCACTCTTGCATTTTTTCTGTACGTTTGAAAAATTTCCAAGCACAAAGTAAAACATAAACAAGAAAGAACACCAGTACCACTTGGGCACCAGGCAGCATACAAAATAGGGTCACAGATGGAGGGAAAGACAGAGTCCCCCTCCGAGGAAACGTGACTCACTGAGAAGAAGGCTATCCTTCCTGCAGGTGTGACACTGGTCGTCGGAGGGCCCCATGCAGCGGAAGCACTTGGCGTGGCAAGGCTTGCATCCCAGGGCTGCCTCATCCCAGTACTCGGCGGCGGCACATTCCTTGCTAGGTACACACTGTCCATGGCTGTCCACCCTCAGGCCTTCCTGACAGGTCGTGCAGCTCCCAGACGATGAGCAGGTCTGGCAGGACTTGTGGCAATCTGTGGGCCGGGTGGGCACGGCAGAGAGTGAGGGAGGGCCAGGGCACCCCTCTGGGGAGTCATTTCCCCTGGAAAATGTGTTTGCACTGCTTCCCCATTTCTCCTAGACATTTCTAGGGCTTTGCCAAAGGTGTGGGGCCATGAGTTGGGGACAGCCCTGGGGTTTTGGGTGGAGCATTCTTGCTGCATAATGAGAAAAAATGGCTCTTTCTTTATATTCTCTTTAATATCTAGAGAGCCCTCCCTGCAGTAGCCACCTCAGAAATATTAGTAAGCCGCCATATAATTACCCAAATGGCAACAAAATAATAACAAGCAATTCTGCAGCAGCATGGCCACACCCTGTTGGTGGCCTAGTCACCACCATAACCCCTATTCTGTGTTTCTCCACTGACCTCCCAGAATACCTTGAGCTCATCACTAATGTACAATTGCGGGTCTATATTATAATTGTTGACAAAGAAGGCCTCTTGTGGTCATTTATGAATGCACAGTGCATATGAGAGGGCCTCGTATATAACCGGCACTCAGTAGGTATTTTTTGGGCAAATAAAATAACAACAATTCACTTTCACCTTGGGGTTTGAGCGGTTGCCATACCCTCTGCCTAGAATTCTCTTCTCCCAGATACATTCATGGTTGGTTCCCTCCTTTTCTCAGTGATGTTGTCCCTGCTGCCTTCTCTTTCGTTTCATCTGGATTCTGCCTACCTTCCTGTCCCCCTTCCCTGCCTCACTTTTCCTTCTGACTTATTCTCTTTAGTCTGTCTTCCCCAGTGGAATGTAAGCCCCACGAGGGCAGGATTCTGCCTGTATTGTCCCCTCTGCTCCCCAAGGCTGGAAGAACATTCAGCACCTGGTGGCCTCCAAAAACATACTCACTGGTTGAATGGATGCATGGCATTATTATTGTGATTATTATCATCTCATTTGATCTAGATCAGGAAATTGAGGCAGGAGGTGCTAAGTCACTTGGCTGGAGAAGGGCAGGATCAGGCACTGAACCCAGGACCTTAACAAAAGCTCTTGCTGTTTCTGCCCCAGTGCCTTGGGAAAGGCAAGGGATTCTTAGAGATGGCTATGCTATCTCCTAGGGAATAATTTGGGGTGACCAGAATGGATCCCAAGTCCTTGTGTTTCTCAGAGAAGATCTTTCTCATCACTAATGTACAATTGCGGGTCTATATTATAATTGTTGACAAAGAAGGCCTCTTGTGGTCATTTATGAATGCACAGTGCATATGAGAGGGCCTCGTATATAACCGGCACTCAGTAGGTATTTTTTGGGCAAATAAAATAACAACAATTCACTTTCACCTTGGGGTTTGAGCGGTTGCCATACCCTCTGCCTAGAATTCTCTTCTCCCAGATACATTCATGGTTGGTTCCCTCCTTTTCTCAGTGATGTTGTCCCTGCTGCCTTCTCTTTCGTTTCATCTGGATTCTGCCTACCTTCCTGTCCCCCTTCCCTGCCTCACTTTTCCTTCTGACTTATTCTCTTTAGTCTGTCTTCCCCAGTGGAATGTAAGCCCCACGAGGGCAGGATTCTGCCTGTATTGTCCCCTCTGCTCCCCAAGGCTGGAAGAACATTCAGCACCTGGTGGCCTCCAAAAACATACTCACTGGTTGAATGGATGCATGGCATTATTATTGTGATTATTATCATCTCATTTGATCTAGATCAGGAAATTGAGGCAGGAGGTGCTAAGTCACTTGGCTGGAGAAGGGCAGGATCAGGCACTGAACCCAGGACCTTAACAAAAGCTCTTGCTGTTTCTGCCCCAGTGCCTTGGGAAAGGCAAGGGATTCTTAGAGATGGCTATGCTATCTCCTAGGGAATAATTTGGGGTGACCAGAATGGATCCCAAGTCCTTGTGTTTCTCAGAGAAGATCTTTCTCCGAGATTGCTTGGTTCCAGATGCTTCTCTGAACCTATCCAGATCTCAATTTTCAGGTCAGATCCTTCTGCTGCTTCTCTCTGAAAAGTCAGGAGGTCACCCTTTTTCTTCCAGTACCAGCTTCCCTCTGCCTCCCTTGGGATTGGTGGAAGGTGCAGTGCATTTTTAGGCCTCAAGTCAGTTTCCAACAGTTGAGTTGTTCTGAGGTGAGCCTGGGCATCTATTTTTTTAAGTTCTCTAGCTGATGATAATGGGCAGCCAGGGATGAGAAAATTAAATCAGGTAAATTAAATAAATGTACTCTGAGACCTGTAAAATTCTCTATGGCAAATTACTTTAATTACTGAATACTAGAGAAAGGCCAGAAGTGGATCCTGAGTTCTTGCCCTGGTGCAGGCAAGGTAGGCCTGTAGGCCTTTGGCCAAGTCACTAAACTTCTTGTGGAAACCGACCCACAGCTCTGCTTCCTGACTCCCATGCTCATCCCCACCTTTTGCTGCCCTGGCACAGCTGCCTGTTTGCAAGTCCACAGGTAGTCAGGTGGGACATTGACACTAAAGTGTGTTTACATAAAGCACAAAGAGGTATACCCAGATCATAACACGAGAGCAGAAAGCCTTCAGGAGTAAGATGCACCTCATGTCCTACCAAAAACTCCCTGACTGAGTTCTGGGAGGTGGTGGCCCCAGGTCCTCCTGCCACAGGAGTTCAACCTCGGCCTCTGCTCTTGTTGGGACTTCTCAGGATGTCTCTCTAGTGCTTTCGTGGTGGCAGCATAGGGGCTAAGATACCCCTGGCTACCTAGCTACGGGGAGTTCTGGAAAAGTCCCCTTCCTCCAGGATGTTCTCTCACTTGTTTGAGAATTCCTCTAGTAAAGGGAAATTGATTTTATTTTTATCTTTTGGGTCAACTAGTTCATACCCAATTAAAGCATAAAGAGGCATAAATAATGGCAGATCCTTTCTTGAATGTGTAGGGATGGACATGTGGAGGGGGAGATGGAGTGGAGAATCCAGGGCAGAAATCAGTGAAGGTGTTGAGGAGGGAAGAGGGGAGGGAACTGGAGGCACCAGGAAGCTCCTCTCTGGCACAGCTCCCCTTAGAGTGCTGTACATTTTTAATGGCTTTATGTTTTAAGGAAAAGCTTCCATTTGGGTGACTTTTGAAGGCTCATCATCTCTGTTATAAATCTTCACATGAGAATTCTTTTTTGATCAGCAGTTCAGAGCCACTGGCATGAGGAGGGTCAGCCTGATTTGTTAGTAAGAGAAGTTACATAATCAAAGCTTATATATGATTCATTTAAAAAGTTATAAATTAGAGCAGATTCAAAATACGCTTCCTTGAGCAGGAGGGGAAGGGATAGGATGACAGGTCTGGGGCTAAAACTGTGCAAGCCCCAGACCATCCTTTGTCTCTGCAGAGGCCTGTGGCCCCACTGGGCTCCCTGTGATGCAGCATTTGGCTCCACACCGGGAGCCTTTTACCTTTGCATTCCTTAATCTCTTTTTCATAGTAAGTTCCTGTTGGACACTCGTCCAAACACCACCCATCGTAGAGAACTGAGGATGTGTCAGCACACAGGTCACAGTCGTCCTCGGAGGGGCCACTGCATTTCAGACAGTCTTCGTGGCAGGGGACACACTGGCCTGCATCCGCATAAAAGTGGTTGGGACAGGACTGATGGCACACATCCTGGTACAGGAAGAAGTCAGGCATACACTCTGGGGGAAGGAGAAGTCAGCAAGTTATCACTGTGAAATCAGCAAGGTCCCACTCTGGGGGAAGGAGAAATCAGCTAGGAGACAGGAATTCATTCCTTCTGCAGCGGCCAAGCCTGTCCCTGCCACTTCGTCTCATTTGACCGCAGTGTACATGTGCCCCATCCCCACCCCATTGGGCCATATCCTCCATGTCTCAGAAGCCGTGCTTTGGGGAAGGAGACCACCTATAGTGGCCTGATGGTATGGAATTGGGTTTAAATCCTGAAATGATCTGCTGCTTAGAGGTGCAAACAGTTACAGTGCTCGGACAGTCCAGTGGTGGCCGAGGTGCTGGAGGTATTGTTTGGAAAACTAGGCCGATGAAATATACATGGTTAATCAGCATGAAGCCATGGGTCATGAGTTTAATTCATTTGTATTCATTCTCTTATTTTGGGGGAAATCCAAGACAATACTGTAGGTCACACCTAGAAAATCCGTTGGATAGGGCAGCACCAGTTAAATGAACCTGTCCTATTCTGGAGAGGAAGTTAGGCAGCCTGCCTTGGGAGATAATTCCAGAGAAAATAATCCTAGCCAGAGTGTTATTCTCAGTTTCATAGTTGCCTGAACTTTTCTTTCCTATCTTTTAGCAATTCTCTAGCTACCTCTGTGTTTCATTAACATATCGTCTCTCCTGTGGGAACTTTGTGCACAGAGAGGTGGGAACTTTGACTTTTCTCTCTCTCCAGCACACGGGATAGTGCTTGGTACCCTAAGAGCTCAGGGCATGTGTGTGGAAAAAGTCATGCAAAAGGGGCTCTTGTTTGTCTTAACTTGCAGAATCCATAACAAAAAGCATTATCTGAACCCCATTTTCCTTAGTGATTTGCATGGAGGTAGATAAATTTCAGTAACATGATGGAGACTGGTTCCCTCAGTTCTGCATGGACTTCCCTCCCTCAGAGAGTCGATCCCCGGCTGGGTGGCTCAGCAGAGCTGCACTCTCCCTGGGATGCGATGCAGGTACCTTTGCATGTTTTCTCATGGATGCAGTCCTCGCACATCTCTGGGCACTGCTTGCACTCCCCCTCCACAGCCACGTGCCTCTTGGAGCAGCTTTCGTGGCACATTCCGTGGTCCAGGACGAGGCCTTCTTCACAGGAGTGGCAGTTGGTGGCATTTCCTTCACACGTTCTGCAAGGAGAGCTACAGCGTTCACATGTGCCGTCTTCTGCATAGAAGCCCCTGTGGGAGGAGAGAGGGAGTAGAGAAGCTTTCTAACTAGGGAAGTGAGTCACACCTGGGGGCAAAGGAATCAGGACCAAAAGTGGATGGACGGCTGCTAGTGTGACCAAATGAATCCATTAGATTTCCCGAGCAAATGTGAGAAATCAGGTCTGGAAAAATAGTATGGAAAGGATAGGTGTTATCCTTGTGAATTTGGTTTGTTTGAAAACAACTTTTGTTAATTTGTATAGAGCTTAGCCATCTTCTGTTTCTCCATTTTACATCCTGATTTTCATTCTTTTTACCTTTCTGGAAATACTTTTTATTCAATTTAATACATTTTTAATGAAGAGATTTAATAAATCAATTTAATATTTAATATAAAAATTAATTATTAAGTAAAAAATTATTTTCAAAAGGCTCAAAATGTTTAATGTCCCGTAAAATTGGAACCACTTTTGCTTTTGGATGCTTTCAGCCAGCCTCTGATGGCTTTTTTCAAACACAGACATGTAACATTCATACACAGCACCAAACATATTTTGAACACTTGTTACTAGAGTATATGTTTATGTGGTTGATTTCCAGGTGGAATCTGATGTATGGACATACGCATATTGTATATCTGAATGATTTAACCATCACACCTTAGAGATCACTCACTGGTGTGTGAACACAGTAACTATGAAAACCCCCAGCCCTTTCAGATATATCTGGGAGATGAGGGAAGTATAGATGCTGTGTCTTTGAAGGGAGACGCTGAAGGGAAGAGCTGGAACTTGCAAAGCAGGAAAATCATAAACTACTGTAGAGAAAGTGGACTTCCAATGTCAAAGGTACTTATTCTGATTGTTTTCTGTAATTATTCTTCTATAAGTCAGTATTGGGGAGGAAAAGTTTTCCTCCATCCTTCAAGGTTCTTCTCACTGGTCTAAGAACCAAATTAGCATAGACAGATGAACTGGAGAAAATAAAATTTAATTTTGTACATACCCCACAACATGAGAAATTTAAAGACAGAAAGGTAAAATGAGGTATATATGCTGACCTGGGCTAAGGGATGGACCAGGGGCCTGGGGCTGCAAAGAGGGAGAGGGCAATGCAACAGGGCAAGAGGAAGAGCAGATGTCTCATGATTAGTTGTTTGCCCTGCCATGTAGATGGGTCATTTGGATAAAATTTATCTCTGGTAATAACTCCTACTGTAGGAAATACCCCAATTTAGATTTTTCTAGGTAGTTAAGGGAGAGGAAAATAGTTTCTCTTGAGCCCACATGGTCTTGATTTGCCTTCTCAAAATAGTTCACATGCCAAAGTGGCACATTTTGGGAAGGTTTGTTCTAAACTCTGCCAGCTACTTCCATAATAGTGCTGTGTAACAAAACATCCCCACACTCATTGTCTTTTATGTATCTGTGGGCAAGCAGATCTAGGCTGAGCTTGCATTCAAAGAGGCATATGTCACTGTGCAGGAAGAACTCAGGCATGCACTCTGGGGGAAGGAGGCTGACTCCCAGCTGCGTGCCGGGTCCAGGTCTTCTTCATGTCCCTTTATCCTCTTGGCACAGGGAACTACTGGGACATGTTCTTCTCTTACCTCTGACAGAGGCACAAGAGGGCAAGTTCAACTGTGCAAACACATTTTAAGCCTCTGCTTCTCTTCTGCTAACATCTTTAGCTTTGGCTAAAACAAATCTAACAATCAAGCCCAAAGTCAAGGGTCAGGGAAGTCCATTCTGTCTCCTGTGGGAGTTGCTGCGAAGTTACAGGCAGAGGGCATGGGTCCAGGGTGGGGTGAAGCATGGCTGCAAATGACTCAATCTACTAGTCCTCTTTGAATCCTAAAGCCAATCAGGGACCCTATACTGCATCTTTTCTTGATGCTTTCATTATTTTACTCATTCACATCCATTTAATCATTCTTTCAGTCATTCATTTCTTGTATGTATTTGGTAAACATAAATGTATTGAATGCCTCAGGAAGAAACAGGACAGAGGTGAATAAAAGTCACATTACTAATGTGGTATGAAGAAAGGAAGAGTGGAGATGAAGCAGTTTATGTAGAAGAGGGGGAACTAAATAGTATTCAGATGGAAGCGAAGGCCAGGCTCCTTCACACATTAATATCTGGCTTTTTTTGGACCTTGATGGAGAACACGCAGAGAACAAAGACACCACTGCTACTTCGTCCAACCAAGTCAGTGTCTGAAAAATAATTTTGACAGGATAGCAAATAGAAATGTATTACATGTTTACCACAGTTGAATAAATTTGAGAAAATTGAGGAAATTTAGTGCATTCTCAAACATCACATCTTCTACCTGGATGAGAATTTGGTGGATTCATTGTTTCTGTGTGTGTAGTGAGAAGTTTGGCCTCATCAAAAGAGAGGTCTGGCCTTTCTCCCCAGCTGACTTCTGAACTCTTGGAATTTTCCAAGTGATAGGAATGTCTCCGTTATTCATCATGGGGTCCTCTGACTGCACCTGGTAATTTATGGTAAGGAAATGACTCAGGGTGGGGACTGGCTGTGCCAGAAGGACCAACCCTGTGTTTACAGGTTGGGGACTGTGGCCGGCCCATGTGATTATCACCTGACCCTTGGGGAACTTGCAATGCCAGGTCTGACCAAGGTGTCTACAGAATAATTTCTGAAGATGAGCAATTCTAGTACAGAATTTGAAAAATGCAACACCAAGAAAACCTTTTTCAGATTCCTCTCAGGGAATCAGCAAATTTCAGATGAGAGGCTGAAAAGAGAGGAGTAGATTCAAGCAAAAAATAAAAAAAGATTGAAGAGTATTGCTAACTCAAAAATACATGACTCAGAAATTTGTCAGGAGGCAGCCAGCAGGCAATGTGGTGACAAGGTGTTTTTCCGAAACCTCTTTGCTAAAAGCAGCCTTTCCATGTAGATCTGCCCAGTGATTTGCCCACCTGTCTTCTCCCTGCATTTGCCAAACTTTTCTGTTAATGCTTTATTCCACCGTCACTTTTATTTAAGAAGACAACTATTTCTTTTGAGAAGAAATGGCCACCTGCTTTAAATTGTTAAGTTCAAAGTTAATGTTGAACTCTTGGCCCAAATAAATACAATAAGGCAGAGATCATATGGTTCTGGAGCTTCACCTATATTTAACAGATACCCGAAACAGTGACAGCCAGCGCTTAAAGGAAGACCATTTTTTCTTCTATCAGATCTTCAAATCTGTTCCTGTGTGGTGAATTTGAACACACTTTTAAGTTTTGTGTTGTCTTTTAAACAAACTCCATAATGATGTATGTTACTACTCAAACTTTCTTCTGTGAACATAGACCATATCTGAAAAAGCGATGGCTACTCATGCTGACTTATAAACAAACCTGAATACCAAACAAATAATTCGGATGCCATTCCATTGCAGACTGTGTTCCTGTTAGAACTGTTGTTTTAGGAAGGATCGCACCCAAAAGGGTGATTTCTCAAAAATAGCAACAAAGCTGCCAGACCAAGCTGGATATTACATACATGTTCCTCAGACTTTCATCTTGCCTGTTTTTTTTTGTAAACACACGGGTGGGGGCCCTTAAGTAATCAAACCACTCTACTCAGAACAGGAGGACCCATGCTCATGCTTCCATAGTCTGCAGGACTTTCTTGTTAGTAGCTTCCTTACTGCCCAAAACATGCAAAAAATATCTTGGTTGCTGTTTATCTGCATACTGCCCCATTGCTTCATAGGAGGGGATCGATCTGGACTTGGAGGAAAGAAGTTTTGAGTGGGCTGCTGAGTGGAGGGAAGGCACAGTGCACCTCTTCCTCTTTCGTTTGTATGCATTGTCAGTTCCTGTAACACTGGAAGAATCTGCAAGAATTGGGAAAGGGGTGATAATAATGACATCCAGTCACATCCCACCAGGACAAAGGTCAGCAGGGAAGCAGTGATTGCCTTTGGTAAGTAGATTTCTGACCTTCACCTCTGTTTTACTGTAAGACCTCTGCTGACTTTGCTCAGGCTGGAGCACTGATTTTGGAGGAGGAGGGCTGGGAGTTCCCTGACTCTGTCTTTTGCCCCCACTCCCTTCTCTTTCTGGACTCTCTTGCCCTGACCCTTTTTCCCCCTTATCCCAATCTCTGCCTGACAAAAATCCTTTAAGAGCTTTTCACCAGTAAGCCTCTTCCTAAATATCCAGCTGGGGAAGAACCTTGAAAATACACTAAGTGAAAGAAACCACTCATAAGAGATTGTATTTTCTAGCATTCCATTTATATGAAATGTCAGAATAGGCAAATTGATGGAGACAGAAAATATATTAGTGATTGCTTAGGTCTGGGAGAAATGGGGAGTAACTACTAAAAGTGTAGTTTCTTTTTGGGATGATGCAAGTTTTTAAAATTGTGGTGATGCTTGCACAACTCTGTAAATACAGCAAAAAACATCAAATTGTATATTTTATATGGGTGAATTTTGTGGTATGTGAATTATATCTCAATAGAGCTGTTATGTCAAAAAAGAAACCCATTGGATGAGAAGCTGGCATAATGCATTGGTGAAGCACATGGCCTTCAGTGCTGGGTGGTTTGGTTGAAGTCCTGACCACCTCGTGTTAGCTGTGGGACACTGCACACTACCTGTTTCCTTATCCACGAAATGGGGTGAAACAGTAGCATCTGAATAAGAGGATTCTTGTGAGTACTAGTGGGATCACACAGCTGAAGCCCTTAGCCCAGTGCCTAGATGTCACAAGCACTCAACCAGCCACTATTTTTAAATGGTTTCCTTTCCCTTGGAATTTCTTAGCTCTTTGTGTATTCATAGCGATTTGTGTATGACATTGATTATATAAACCTTCCCTACTAAACTGTAAGCCTTTTGCAGGCTCAGACATCCTTCAGTTGATCTTAACTTAGCTTCCAATGTCAATTCTTATATCCGGTAGGTGCTAAATACTTACTTGTAGAATTAAATTGAAAATGCTTGGCTTTTACACTAGATTGGAAGCTTTTCGAGGGTAAGTACCATAACTTTATACTCTACAGGATCTATCTCAGTAATGAATACAAATAGATCATTAGGAAATAGGTGTTGGTGTTTTTTTCTAGTTCTTTTAATTAGCAGGCAAATGAAATTTCTAATTCCTTAAAATTGATTCTGTTGGCTGCTTCCCTAAACTCATTTCTCGTCTGCCTCTCTCCAGTCTTCCTGGCTGTCAGGGTTCCACTTTTGTTTGGGTGTCTAGGAGTGAATATTGTCCAGCCTTACCCAGTCCTTGTATTTCCATTCTCCTTGCCAGAGATTGGTTTTGGAAGGTGTAAGTGATGCATTCTGGCTAATGAGATGTGAAGGGAAGTCTGGGGAAGTTTTCTTTCTTCTTAAAAAGAGATAAACAAGGAGGGCGGTGCCCTTTTCTGTCTATGGTTGATGTAGAGTGGGGAGGGGTGGTGTTTGGCGATGGGGCAGACAATGTGGCCCGGAGGAAGAAAAGCTAAGGAAGATGTAGGAGCAAATGGAAAGATCGTGGGTTTTTAATGAGAGTGCTGGCCCCTGAAGTAACCAATACTGGGTTTCTTAACTTTCATTGTATGAGATGACGAGCCCCGTATTGTCTCAGTCATACTATTAGGAATTTCTATTGCTTGTCACTGAACGTCTCCTGATGTTCTTTTCCATTTGCTATTCCCAGTTCCCTTTTAGGTAGATCCTGGAGGCAGTACCATTGATAGGAAAAGTAAGGGAGTTATAAACCAGGGGACTGAGGAAACCATAAGGATTCAATAAATAATTAACCAGGTATTATTCTGTCTTTATTATTTATAATTCATACCTCATGTACTGTAAACATTTAGAAGTTATGTGTTCACAGCCAATCACAGCCTTATTTTTGTGATGGAGAAAAACCTACTTGATTATGAAAACAAGGTGGAAAAAGAACGTAAAGGGAAAAATATATGCATATAATAGTCACGAAAGAGAAGTGTGTGAGTTTTTATACATTTCGGCTGCTGTGGCAATACTGATATCCCATAGTTGAGAGGGGACACATGTAGGCACTGTAACAGGGAGGAAAAGAGTTCTTCGGTCAATAGAAAGGAATTGCCCTTAAAGTACGGCGGGAGCCCAAAGCAAATGGAGGGGGAAGACTTACTCAGGGCATCTGGTGTAGCACCTGCCTTGGTGGAGGAAGAGAGGGCGGTCTGGCTGAGTCCAGCACTTTTTGCAAAAGTTGTCTCCAGAGCAAGAGGCACAGTCCTCAGTACAGTTCTCACAGGTGCCACTCCTCGCTGAGGACCATGTGCCTTGGGGACAGGAGGCAACACAGGCCTGAGCCAACAGGTATGTGCCTAGAAACCAAGGGAAGAAGGCACATTAGATGGTCAGCAGGTGTCTGATCTAGCAGCACACACACCCATGCAGATAACTGATGCTTGCTGCAGCTTATTTTTAACTGCTCTGAAGACCCAACTATGTAGACTCTTATTTCAGGCTTATGCAAATATTTTTTAGTGATTCTGAGTCTTTCAAGAGGAGTTAAATCTTTAGAAAGGAAATGGACAACAGGGGGCTTTTGCCCTGTTTCTTTTACTTTCCTGCTGATATTGGTGAAAGTAACTGTGGGACTTCCCTTTGCCAACTGATCATTCCATTAACGCCTTTGTCCTCCTGGCGTAAGGCAGTTATAAATGCATAGCTTGATAGTCTGTATTTCTGCTTCTCCAAAGCCTATCTTTTTAGGACACTAACAGTAGCAATTCTTCCACCCAACTCCACCTTGAATGAATGGTTCATCTGTTTATTTTTAATTGAAAAAATCAGTTAATATCATTATTAAAGAAAATAATTTTAAAATCTCCAAAATTTCAAGAAAATTCCTTAAATTTTTGTTTGTAATCTTGAATACTGTTTAGGAGTAGAATCATGACACACCTATAATTTTAGACTTTGTTGCTTTTGCATCTCATTTCACTATTAAAATTGCACATTCCAACATAATGATTGCTTTAATGGGAGTATAACATTCTTAATTCTCAATGTTAATGTACATGTTAAAAAAATACACACCTAAGTCAGGGGCCTTGTTGCATCTGATGTTTTATTTTTACAGACAATGAAGCAATTAATTTGCTGAGCTGTTAAGTGGTTGCTCTTCTTTTTTTTTCCTCTCCTAAATTCAGTACCAGAAATGAAGAAGGAAATAATGGGTAGGCTATTTATCTCCACCTAGATTCGCTGCCTTAAGGTCTAATGTTTCAGCTAATGCACTTTAAAAGAGCAATGGGACTTCTAGAAATGTCAGGTACCCAGAGACTCTAACAAATTCTGTGGCCAAATCAACAGATAACTTCATCATGTCTTTGGATAAAAAGACACTTTTTTTTTTCCAGTCTTTTGAAAGCCAGTTTTTATTATAGGTTGGTGGTTCCTGTTTTTCCCGGAGTAGCCACTGTAATAGGGACAGATGATGAAGGGACCAGATCAAGTCCTGCAGGGCCTGTACATAAAGGTGTTACAAAAATTGTCTTGGCTGCTGCCACCTCCTGTCACACTCCACACTGACCTTTTGGACAGGAAGTACACAGGGTTGCAGATCCATTGCAGGTTTTACAAGAAGAATGACAAGGCTGTTGTTTTCCTAAAATGTCTGTGTAGGGAAAGAAACAAGAAGTCAGTTTCCTTTGAACAGGCTCTTAGTACTAGTGTTGGAAAAGATCTCACAGGTAATGGCATTTTCCTTCCCACCTAAAATAGAGTCCCTTCGATTTTACATTAGCCAAATGTTGACACCTGTCCTCTGTCTATCATGTGGACTTCATTCACTTATTTTTGCTCTTCCTCCTTCATCAATGGTTGATTACCAAGACTTTATTTGCAAACTTCCAGTGCCAGGATAGTCTTAAATACTAAGGGTGTATTTGAAGTAACAAATGTTACTTCTTTCATATATTAAAAACACGTAGGGGAGAGTGTTTGTGTCCTTGTATGTAGGGAGAAAGGTATGCGTGCAGGAAAGCATTTTTGAATCAAAGCTAATTACTTCTTTCCCCAAGATTCTTGGAGATACTTCTTTCTCCAAGATGATAACTGAGAATGCAGTGTATTTCATGGAGAAATATATTTTCTTTTCTCCCCCCCCCCCCCCGCTTTGGAACAAGATTTCATAATTAGTGAATGTTTGGATCTCTGTTCTTCAGAGTAGCCACTGTGGAATGCAACCTCAGTCTATCTCATCTTATATTTGTCTCAAATCATTGTTAAACATCAACATGATGGAGCCACTTGCAAGCTTTCTGCTTGGTCAGTGATGAGGAGGCCATCCCAGGTCAATACACCAGGTGAATATAACATGACAGGTGTTTCCCTCTCCCTCTCCCTCCACGAGCATTCGATGGGCAGGCTTTTCCAAGAAGTCAGCAACCCCCCAGTTTGAGACATACACAACAGCCTCAGTGACATCGCTCAATCAGTACACATTGAGATCTTGACTAAATCTCAGGAATTGCCTGGGAATTGGGGGAAAATCAGACATGCACAGGGGAAATTTAGAAAAAGAAGTTCTAGCGCAGAATGCATGGTAGGAATGACCCTGACCCTCAGTCAGTTGTTATTGTTGGTATCTTACAATTCTTCTCCATTTCCTTCCTCCCTTCCTCCCTCCCTCCCACAGTCCCTTTCTCCTTTCCTTCCTTTCTTGCCTTTCAGTTGCTCCTCCCTCTTCCTGCAGGTCAGTCTGGCAGAGTTGGTGCTCTAGTCGCACCTGCCTCAGATTCCAGCTGTGCTGTTTACAGAGGGTAACCATGGCTACAGTAATTAGACTCCCAGAGTCCTCCTTTCCATGTCTCTTAAATGAGAGAAGATGATTCGTCCCTTGCAGGGCTGTTGTGAAGACTCAGTGAGACAATGTGTGTAAAGTGCACACACAGTGGCTCTGTGATTGTGGTTTCTTCTGCTTCCTTTGTTCTCTATCCCAGTCTCCTCATTTGCTACCAATCCACCCTTGCTTTTGAGGCTTTTATTTCCTTCTCCCTTTCCTCTGTTCCATACCTCTAGTGGCACCAGTCGGCATTGCTTGACTGCTATGATGGTGCTCATGGTTAATAAGCTGCTGAGCTTTGCTACAGAGGAAACTAGATTCAAAGGTAGTAGGGAGATAGGTAGGCTGATTGATGTAGGTACAGATAGATACAGATATAAATGATGGTCCATGCTGCCATGCTAAGTGGCAGTTTTCCTCCTAGTTTGGAGAGGATGCTAAGTGGCAATTTTCCCCCTAGTTTGGAGAGGAAAATTTGCCCTGGTTTTCTACTAAACTGACTCATGTATTCTCCCTCAGGGGATCTGGGAAGAGTTCAGTTAGCCCTGTGCAGAGCAATGCTAGTCATAGAATTGTCACATAAGTGGTCTTCATGCTTCTCAATACGACCGTTTTTCTGAAGGCCTTTGTAACCTGACAGTATTACTTAACCCAAAAGAGAAGGCAACAGAAAGATATACAATAATTCTGTTGCTGACATCAGTCCTTACTCATTATCAGGGAAATGCAGATCAAAACCACAATGTGATATCACCTCACACCAATTAGAATGGCTTCTATCAAAAAGACGAGATAACAAGTGTTGAATGTAGAGAAAAGGGAACCCAGGGGCACTGTTTGTGGGAATGTAAATTGGTGCAGCCACTTTGGAAAACAATATGGAGGTGCCCCCGCAAATTAAAAATAGCACTACCTTATGATCCAGCAGTCCTACTTCTGGGTACATAACTGGAGGGAAAGAAATTTCAAAGGCCTGTCTGCACTCCATGTTCATTGCAGCATAATTTACAATAGCCAAGACATGAAAACAACCTAAGTGTCTATTGATGGATGAGAGGATAAAGAAAATGTGTGTGCATGTGTGTGTGTATGATATATATGTATACATACACAATGTTTTATATATATATATGCTACATATATCTGTAATGGAACATTATTCAACCATAAAAAGAGAAAAATTCTGCCAGTTACAACAAATGGTTGAACCTTGAACATTATGCTAAGTGAAATGTGTTAAAGACAAGTACTGTTTAATCTCACTTATATGTGGAATCTAAAAAAAACAAACAAACTCAGAAACAGTGAGTAGATACCCCCCAGAGGACGCAGAAGTGGGGAGAATGTGTGAAGGTGTTCAAAAGTTATAAGCTGCCAGCTATGTGACAAGTAAAATCTGGATCTTTGATGTTCAGCATGGTGGCTGTAGTTCACAATGCTATTGTATACTTGCAAGTTGCTAAGAGAATAGATCTTAGAAGTTCTGAGAACAAAAAAAAAAAAGAAAAGGTAACCATGAAGGCGTTGGAAATGTTAACCTTACTGTAGCAGTCATTTTGCGATGTATATCAAATCCTCACATTATACATGATAAACCTACACAATGTTATGTTAATTATGTCTCAATGAAGCTGGGAAAAAAAGATGTTTACTTAATGGCTGGGAGAACTTATTCAGAGGATAATAACAAAATAATGTTCATTAGACATTGGGCACCTTGAAAATCCATAATATTACATACATATATATATCTAAGCTATTTTCTTTTGATTTTATTCTGTATTAAAATGTATTTACAAAGATACGAGTTTTCAAGAATTTTCTCATATCTGTGAAAAATATAATGTATATACACAAACACATGTATTTATAATTACACGTTTATCATATTCTGGCAATTTGGTATTTTACTCCGATACAATTGGTATAAAATTCTGTAATGTCTGCACATCTCCACTAGAGGGTATTCTGTACACACAGTTAACAACTAGGTTCTTGGGCAATGGATTAAGTCACCTCAACCAGAGCTTTTGATCATAAAAGATTACTGACTTAATCTCAGTAAGTACATTTTGACTTTAATCAATCCCTTTTTTTCCCACTTCAGAAATTCTGTACTGGAAAACACTTCAAAAAAAAAAAAAAAAAAAAGGAAGGAAGAAAATCATCTTGACCAAGAAAATGTAGGGTTCTTCAGAAATGACTGTAGCCTAACCTAACCATATAAAATGTATCACACATGGTTCAAAATGTAGAAAAGGCATACATCATGAAGTCTCCCTCCCAATTCTTTCTCTACCCTTTTTGTACAAATTATCTATTCACACTGTTTATCACATTGCCTTTTATTGGTAACAGTATATTTTGGAGACCATTCTTTATCAGTACATTAACAACCTCCATGTTCTTGTTTTGGCTCCAAAATATTCCATTGCATGGATGTATTGTACTTTATTTTTCTAGTCTCCTATTGGTAACCATTTAGTTTTTTCCAAGCTGTGCTATTTCAAATAATGCTTCAGTGCCCGGGAAGGCAAAAGGTGCTTTTTCAGCCTATTCAAAGACATCAGCAAGGACAGAGGCTTTTTGAGATAGCCTCCCAGCCATAACCACTTCGCAAGTCAGGAATGTCCTTAAATGTTCTAGAAGTCTCCACTGCTGAACTTCCTCCCAGTCTTTGCCTTGCCTTGGAGCGCCCCCTTCTGTTTTATATCACACGCCCCTCCTCTCTCTGTGTCTGTCTTAGGACTCTGTCTCCCTACGTGCTCCTCGCTGGCCAGTTTTTTGATTGGTCTGTACATCACAGTTACTCTTGATTTGTTGTGATTTTTTTTTTCCTCCCTATTTCCCTGTTACCTCTTTTGGTTTGAAACTTCCACCTTCGTCGCTCCTGCAGCAGGCTCTTCACCAAAGATGGGCTGGCAGTGGGCACAGGCTCTTTTTTATTAAAAAAAATAAAGTGTTTTATTTTTTTTACTATAAAAAGGATAAAGGAGCTAAATTTCACCTATAATCTCACCACCCAGAAATGGCTGCTACGTATACTTGAGCACAAAGAGTTTCGCTCTTTATGTTGAGTGTGAGAATATAATTACATGTGTGTATAAATGTGTAGTTATTTATATCTGCATATATAACACTGACCCTACACTTTGCATTTATGTTACAAATCTTTTAGGCATTTTCTCTTGCTATTAAAATTATTTGTAAACATTATTTTTAACAGCTTGCATATTTATTTTCATTAACCATTGTGGGTAAAATTGCAATATTTCCAGAATCTCTTGCCTGGCCTTAGTGCATCTCCATATTAATATGTGTTTCCAAGGGGTGGAGAGAAGTAGTCCATCTACGTATCAATGGGTAATTACAGGGGCGAGGGTGGCTGGGGCCCCTTTTTATGCAGCCGGGTCAGGAGAGACATGGGAGAGCAGAGGTGGATGACTACTTGTGAGCAATAACTGGGTTTCTCCCACTTTATTTCTCCCTTTGACTGATTTTGGTTTCAAATCCGAAATTTTCCCTGGGATTTCCCCCGGAGTTACAACCATAATTCACTTAATTTTTTCTTGTTATATTTTTAGTTTGCTCTTTTTTGTTGTTATTATTATAAATAAAGCTGCTATCAACATCTTTGTACACATTCTTGGTTAAGTCAGGACTCTGCTTGGCTATTAGGCATCCAAACTAACGATTATTTGCTGTCTTCTTTCTGGGACTACTTTTCCCAGACTGCAAATTTCTTTCTTTCATGAGGTAGGAAAGGCCGTTTTGAAAGTGATGTAGTTTTTCATGTGTTAAAATGATCAGGTTAAAGGGTTAGGGAAGGTTTAACTTTTATTGTGTTATATTATGTGCTGGAAGCTTACGTACATCCTCATTTAATCCTCAAAATGACCTTGGGTGAGATGGTTTCATATTCTCACTGTATAGATGAGAAAACTGAGGCTCAGAGAGGATGAGTAATTAGCTCAAGGTCACACAGCTAGTAAAGAGCAGAGTCAGGATTTGAATTCTGGCATACCTAACTCTGAAGCCTACAGCCACTGTTTTCAGTAATTTATTTGGATTTTAAAATAGTTTGGTAGAGCTCAAAGCAATGGCGTACTGGTAAAATGGCTCTTTGGAAAGCAGAACAAAAAAAAACAAAAACTTGATTTGTAGTGTGTCAGTTTCTGTGTATTGGTAAAATGGCTCTTTGGAAAGCAGAACAAAACAAAACAAAAACTTGATTTGTAGTGTTTGTCAGTTTCTGTGGTGTAAATACTACCACCATAGTTGATTTCAAGCTGCCAATGGTCTCATAATCAGATTGTAGTATTCCTGGGTATTGAGCAATCAGTGCAAGTGGAGACACGTGGCTCCTTTATGCTGCTGGGCCAAAGGTTTAATTATTTACTTAGAAACATCTGTTTCTACAGAGTTCTGATTGGTTAATTAAGTAAAAACAATGTCCTCATTTCTAAGTGAGACAACTATACATCTACAAAGTCCTTCTAAAAATCAAATTTTCATGGCATCTTTAAAGTTCTCTAAAGTTCAGCTACTGTTAGGCAACATCCCTGCTGTTGAGATTTTTTTTTCACAAATGAGTGGCTTTTAGTGTTTGTGACTGACTCTGGGATTCCAGTCTTCCTCAGATCTTAGGAATTAAGATCAAAAGACAGGCTAGTGATAAATTGTCAGGATGTGGTCAAAGATAAAACGTCAATTCCCCATGTCTGAGCTTTGTAGATTAGCCTATCATCAGAATATGCAATTAGAGCCTGCTACAAGCATGGTTTTAATAATGATGGAAATAGGGTGGGTAGGGGAACTGCACCAGAATTATTCCTAGGACTTTCTAGCACTATGGTGGGGGGAAACCCACTTAAGAAATCCAAATGATTTAATAGTAATAGAATAAACTGTTTCCATTTCCAACAAAGGTTTCAGAGTCCATGGTCTGCCATGTCTGGATGTGTCCACCAATGGTGGCTCTGTGTGATGCCTGAACCACTGCTGAGGCCATGAGCAGCCTATCTAATACTGGTTCTGTTACTGCCATGTGTGGACACTAGACTAATCTTCACAATGTATACTGACTGGAACACGGGATCTGGGGATGAGCTATACTTTAATGCAGTGACTTTTTGGGGTGGGAAGAACAGAGTTGAGGCATCTTGGGAGATTACTTGGTGTCAGCTGGAGGATTTTGCCAGGCATGGTCTGATGTGTAGGGGAACCTCCATCCTTGGACCAGGGCATGACGTATTCCCCCTGTATTGGTAGTTGACAAAAAATGATGGCCTGGTCATTGCCACTCTCATTATGAGTAACCACCTTATTAAAAGAGAAATTCAGTGAACTCTAGTTGGATTTTCCTTTCAAGGGTATTTCCCCAGCACATGCTGACATGGACAGTGGGGGCGGTTGCAGTCTTTGGATGCAAGCACGATCTTTTTGTTTCCACTGGGAAGAAATGTGGGTGAAGGAATGAGCCATGTCTGTCCCCTTTTACCATTCCTGCCAGAATCTGAATCTGTGGACAGCCACCACCACACTTTGCTGGTACCCCCAAGGCAGCAACATTCTCTCATAAACCCTCTGTGGTTTGGGCTCCCTCTGTGTTAACCCAGGATGACTGCAGTCTGCCTTCTGTCATCATGAAGGTGTAGCTAATTAGTGCTTGTTCTCTGGAACCCTCCACTCTCCTATTTATACCCTCAACCCTATTTTTTTAAGGAAAAGAAGTTAGGAGAAAGATGTAGGCATTGGCTCAAATACTCCCAGGGCTTTATGGAGTGCATTTCTGACTAACTATTCATTTCAGTGATGCCTAAACTATGTGGTGGAAGCTGAGCTATAACCTTACCTTGCTCAGGGAAGAAATAGTTTTTTCCTCATGTTAATAGTCTGCATGTCTTATTTGCTAGATCATAGAAGTGGAAAGTGCAGCCATGTCATTGACTTTATTGCTTTTGTCCAGCCATGAGAAGCATTCTCATCTGCTTCCCGAATCCCTTATTAGTGTTAAATCCCCAAGTGGACTAATTCCTTCCTCTTCAAAAACACTGCATTTTGATAGTAGAAAATGTGGAGGGGTGGGTGTGGTACTTTCACAAAAGGGAACAATCAAGGCCTGATTTTTGCTTTGCGTAGTCCAGTTGAAAGGGACATGTGATCATTTGGGGAATCAAGTCTGCTCTGACTTTTGGCTCCCTGGACCTTCTCATCATCTGGATGCCAGATAAAATACAGATGTTCTGAGCTAGAAACACAGCACCAGACTATTTTCCTCTTGGCTTGCACTGCCTCTTAAATGCCTGAATGCCAGACAAGCTCGTTTTCAGCATTTTGGTCCAGCTATAATTCACGGAAGATATCCCAATTTGGACTGAATGATTTTCTTCCTAGCTACATCTCTGAAACTGGCCTGTGTTCTCTGTGGCCTTTGGCTGGTGGGTGTGTGATAGTCTCCAGGCTGCTCTTCCTTAAAGTTACATACGCAACATTGGCAGAGGAGACAGCAGCCATGGACGTCCGTCCTCTGAAACCCAGGAGAGCCTTTTCTCCTGCTCCAGATCTAGCCCTCTCTCCAGCCCTTAGAAGACTCATCCTGAGCAGATCTCCTTTCAGTTGCTCTTGCTTCTGCACTGAAATGACCTTTTTAAGAAATCCTTGCCTCAAAATCGAATGGAGAGTATCTCTTGCTTTGTGTCTGCATAGAATGTGAGTCAGTTTCCAGTAGGAAGATTTTGTTTTTTAACCACCTCAAACATGGAGAGGTCACCAAAGTTTGTAATTATCGTGCAAGGAAGCCTGTGACTGAGGCTCCAGGGTGAGGAGGCTAATTCTGGAATCTCAGATGGGAATGCACATGTGCAGCCCTTTACTGTTAGACTCTGAGCTCCCGTACTCTTCCTGCCTCCGACAAGCTCCCCACTTTCCCCATCTGCAACTGAAAAGAATAGCTTTGAAAGGCAATGTTGAATGATAACAACTTCTAATAATCCAGCCAGAAAGATCAGCTGTTTTCATTTACGTTCCAACACTTCAGAGCACTTCTTTCTTGTCTAAGTGAAAAAGCCTACCCTCCTGGTAGTTTTCCTTGTCCTCAATAAAGAGGTACATGAATATTATAGAAGCTATCCTGAAACCTTTGAGAAGACAGCAGTTGGGCCATTTCTCCATATGACTCTCTTTACATGCTCCAAGGTCTACTCCACCCAGGTAGAAACTCAAGTGGCCGGATCAACTGTAAGTTGACCTTTGGTTTCTCCTGCCGGCCAGGTGCCAACTGACTACAGCCTCCTACCCTCTCACTGTGAGCATCAGAGAGGCCCCGGAAGTTGCCAAACTGGACATCTGTTTCACTGCTCAGCCTTCATCTCTTGGATATCCTGAAAGTAAGAGTTAAAGAGGCAAAACAGGGGTGGGAAGGTGGCTAGACACTTGTGATCTCTCGGGCGGCACATACCATTCCAGACTTTGCCGTGCCCCTGGGTCTGGGCTGGACCCGCACATGTCCCCTGCAGCAGCTGCAGTCCTTCTTGGCAGCTGCTGCATTGGTCGTAGCGAGGGCCTGTGCAGGTTTTGCAGGCTGGGTGGCAGGGCTCACACTCCCCCATCCCTGAATTGCTGTAGAAGCCGGGGCCGCATTTCCTCACACACTTGCCGCCTGCATAAGAACAGAGAAAGCGTATAACCCTGGCTGGCTTAGCTTGTGCTCTGTGCAAGGCCTGGTTCTAAATAAGTGGAAGGGAATCTTGGGAACATTTTTGTTTGAGTTTGTTTCTAGAGAAATCTAGATGGCATTAATTCATTTCAACCAGAAAATGTATCTGAATGAATCCAGGACTTTTAAGGTCTCTTGTAACCAAAAAATTTAAATTGGTTGTCACCTCAAAGGGTCAAGAGCACAGAATAAAGAATTATACATTCTCAAGGCCTTAAAAACTACAAATGAAATGAATCTCTCTCTATAAAGAACCATTGGAGTTCATCACAGGCTGTCTGTTCCACCTCTTGCACCAACGTTCAAGAGCACTGGACTATTAGCTCTTCAACTGGGAGATTCACAGTGTATTTCTTTCCTAACCATCCATTTCTATCAAAGTCAATGAGTTGACCAAAGCCTGCAACACAGGATCGTGTTTAGCTTTGGTATGCTCAGGAGTACTGGACGTGCATTAAGTCTCAAGGGAAGACTCCCAGTTTTGAATATTCCAGGTGACTTCAGTTCCAAAGTATTTACCTTCCCCTCCCCCTTCACTCTTATTTCCATCACTTTGGAGATATTTGAGATTAATTAGTGAAATAGAAACTATGTTTCAGTAATAAAAGCAGAAGTAAGGCCTGGCTGATGTTCATTTTCAAACTAAATTAAAATTCCTCACTGGACAAGAGACACATGAAGACCCTGAAACCAGCCCAACTAGTGATCCTATTCCAGCAGGGAGCTTTGTTCTCACTTTATACGAGGCTATTTCCAGGCCTACCAAAGAGAAAGAAGCCCTCTTCACACCAGTGACACTCGTTCTGGTCGCAGTCGCCACAGTTGGTACCACATGCTTTGCATTCAAATTCTTCACTGTAGGTCTTCTCTGGGCAGGTGTTGTAACAATGGTGTTCAAACCTAGGAGAGAAGATGGAGTTCCTTCTGTGAGCTATGTCAATGTATTTCTCTTAACCAATTGTAATTTAATCTCCTTATATACGTCTATGTGCCATTTTAAACAGGTGTACATATTATGGTTTCAAGGAAGAAAACTTCGTCTTGGTCTGTGTTTGTCTTGCAAACAAGTCATTAACAGCTCTTTCTGGACCCTGAGGACGTGTCAGCAGGGCAGCTGTGAGGACGTGGGGGCAAAGGAAGGGATACTGATACGTTTTTTTGGAGTGCTGGTTGTGTCTCAAGTATTAGCCCATTTAAAACTCTGCATAACCCCATATAGTAGCTATTACTTATCTTTAATTTCTAGATAAGAGAAATGACCCTCAGGGTTAAGTGTTCAAAGTCCCATAGGTAGTAAAAGGTGGGACAGTGATTTTCACCAAGATCTGTTCAGACAGACAGACAACTTTGGCCACATGGCACCTGCAAGATCTGAAATAGCTCAATGTTGAGTTCAAATACCTTACCAAATGTAACCAGATTATTAACAGCCAAGTGCCTTAGCTTTTATGTACATATATTTGTATACATATTACCTGTTGCTCTCATTCTGTAGTAGATGTTGTAATTCAAACTCCACTGAATCATAGGCTCGTTTGAATGGGGAGTGAGTGGTGGAATGAAGTTGACTTTTGCCCTTTGTTGAATTTCATAACATCAACGAGGTCTCAAGGGAAAAACTTTGCATTTCTTCATCAACAGCTTTTATGTACAGTGTTTTGTTAGCTGTATTCAAAGTTACTAAACATTTGAAAGAATTATAAATGTGTATTTATTGAAAGAAAAATCTCACGTTCTACCCTTAGTGATATTGGGCATGTTCTTTCAGTGTATTTGTCTCTATGAAGCAGATGCTCATTAGTGAGCAGTGGTGAGCCGGAGAGGCTGATGGGGCTGGTTCCAAAGCCTAACAGAGGATCACAAACAACGGAGGAAGTAGGTTCAAGTCCAGGGGTGTGTTCTGGTGTCAAAATGAATGAGGGTAGAGTTAGGCTGGAAGGCTGCAAAGTTATAAGAGGGACACAGAGGAGGATTCTTTATCCACTCATGCACGATCACTGTTGGAGTCTAAGTTTTCCTTCCTTGGTACTTTGAGGAATATTTTGTGCTCCCAGCCATGTGACCTCACCAAGGAATGCTTGCATTTCTACCACTTGCCTCTGCTTGGGGTGGTCTGTGGCAGGCCATATGCTCAGTAAATGCCAACTATGAACATGCTGACAAATGACCTTCTGTTCATTTATGGTTAATCTGGTGTACCTTGTAATAAGCAGGTCTGGGGGCCTCTTCGCCACCCATCCTGCCCAGTTCAAATGGAATAATAATTTAAATCAGTAGGTCAGGAGTCCAGTGGTACAGAGACACATTCAATAGAGAGAATGATAGACTACTCTAGAAAAGTTGAATTAAAACCATCAGATTAAGTAATGATAAGGTTAACTGATCATTTTAAATATGTTTCAGCTCGTTGGGTTTCCCTTTCCCTCCCATCCTCCTCACCCCTCCTCATGGCTTCCTACCTCCCACCACATTTCGAGTCCCTTAGAATGTGATGGAGGCGAAAGGCAGTGTGGTGACAGGAGGAGCTGGCTAACAAAGTTGAGGTGACCCAAATCTAGACCCTCTTTCTGCTGGTGGTGCAACCTGAGGGGACTCATAGCCTCTCTGAGCTTCAGTTTTCTCTTCTGAAGAATAACATTGATCCCACATCCCTGGCAATGTTCTTGGAAAGGTGAAGAGAAGAAATGGACGAGAGAGTTTGTTTATCACAAAACTCCCCAGTCCTTAGGGTGATGGAGAAATTTGGCGGCCTGTGCATGAGCCAGGCCTTCCTTTTCTTGCCATGTTTTATTAGTTTTTCTGCCAAGATAGGTACCATCATACCTGGAAGGAAGACCAGACTAGAAAGGGGAGGTGACATTGAGACACACCATCTTTTAGTTGCAGATAGGTACGAACTGGAGAGCTTTGGGGGTGATGGTTATCTGTGCTTCATTCAACCTTGTGGTCTGTGTGTCTCACTACCCAGGAGGTGATTAAGAGCTAATGGAGTACCTGGCTTCATCCTGGACCATATGACTCCTGTTAAGGACAAGCTCTCCATGCAGACATTTGGAAACAGCTTGCTTAGAGTTGGGTATATTATTAAGGTCTGTTCATAAACAGCAAGGTCTGAATCTTGGTAATCCATGGCAAGATTCCTAGACACCAGTGTCAGGTTGGGTGACTTCCAGGACCAAGAAAGAGAAGGCCTCCTTTCGAGGCAAGGAAACAGCTGGGCTTTTTTTGCTAAATCCAAGAATTGTTCATTAAGAGCCTGACAGGGCAGAGTTGCTTCAGGCTGCAGGGCCTGTTTGGTTTAATCACTGGATTTAGGATTAAATCAGTAATGCTTAAACTGCAGAAAAGTTAGTGTCATAAAAAAAAAAAGCCAGACTTACATGTAATACCCCACAGTGCATGATGTGCAGCTTCCTGGGTCATCTGGAAAAAAATTACAGTAATGAAAAATAGTAATCACCAAGAGTTCATCATTTGGAAAAGTGGGCTATGGAAAAGCAAGCTGTGGGTTGAGACAAATAATCTTCTGGGATAGTTTCATGAAATGTACTCTCCAGAAGTATTTGAACAGATTGTACCATTTTTAATTAGTAGCAAGATATTTACTATGATTTATCTTTATCAAACTAGTAAAGTAAGAGTTCTCATAAATACTTGGCTCTGGTTTTCAAAGAGGAATACGCCCCAGCTACCGGGTCTTCAAATTGCAGATCAAGAATCATCCACACTGAGAAACTCCTGGCTTCTCCTGAGGCAAAGGAATCAAGCGTGTGTGCACAGACACACACACACACACACACACATGCACATGCACATGCATGCACACATTGTACACGTACACACACACACACATGCACATGCATGCACACATGTACAAGTACACACACACACACACACTGGAAGGGGCTGCAAGCTTCCAACCCTGAATGGTGGGTTTTCTGTGAGTTACCCCAAATGTCTGCCAGTGTGAGGGAATGTCATCTGTTAGGCTCCTTTGAAATCTGGATAGTTTTTTTTTCCCAATACAGCATCCACTGCATTCTACACTTCACAACCCTCTTAAAGAAACTGTTCTGTTCTCATTAAGTACAGTGATTCAGTGTGTCCCTCTTGGCTCAGAGGAGAACTCTTTCCTACAGCTTTCAGGAGACTTAATGAGAGAGAAAGGTCTTTGAGAATCACTAACTCAGTCTTATTTCTCTCCCTCCTAACCCTCCCCAAAAGATGCCAACTCCCAGATCCAATTATTAAGGAGTTCTGTGACTTCCTGCAGCCTGCAATTTTTGTGAGTTAAGAGAGTTACCCCCAGCAAGTTTTGTTATCTGTTATACTCCAGGCCTGCTCTTTTCATTCTAATAGTAGATGGAAAACAATTGATTCTTTAAAACATTCCTCTTGGTATACGAAGATTTTATGTCACCTTTAAGTTTATTGAAACTGAACAAAGCTGTATCCTTTGAACTTTGTGCATGGCTTTCCTTTCTAATGTACTCAAGGCTCTATTTTGGTTTCCAGCATGTCTTCCCCTTGACTATGGAGCCTCACCTGAATCTTTAGCCAAACATTCATCTTGGGTCCTTCTAGGGATGATGCAAGATAAACTATGACTAATGCATTGCCCCAAAACTTAGAGGGGATACATTTCTAGAGGGCTCTCTGCTGTTTAATCAGGGATCCCCAGAACTTCCTGTCATTAGTCTAGTGATGATGCCGTGGAGAAGGCACTGGCAGGGAACTGGGCTACCTGTTTCTACTTTGAGGTTTTAATCCTGGTTTAATGGTCTCGTGAACTCACGTTAAGTGTCACTCTGCCTTTTGGGTCCTGATTTCTGCAAGTGTAAATACCTGGTTGGATAAGATGGTTCCTCAGCCTCCACAAAGGTAAAAAATTCTGAAGCAGTAGTTGGCAAACCATGGCCCACTCCGGGGCCAAATCCGGCCCTGAAATAAAAGGGCCCCTTTGTTTGCATATGTGTGTGAATGCTTTCATGCTATAGCGTCGGAGTTGAGTAGTTGCACCAGAGATAGAAAATATTTACTATCAGGTACTTTACAGAAAATGTTTGCTGGACCCTGGCTATAATAACACTGTTGGCTCACAGTTTTGTCATACTCACTTTTGTTAGGTAACCCAGGTGTAAATGTTACTGTCTTAACAGCTGGCCCCAGAGTTTCTCTTAGGAAGCTAACTGTCTGTATTGACGAAAATTTCTTATTAAACTACTTGGGGTCGAAGTTTAATCAGAAGGCTTAAACAAGAGGCAAGGTAACCAGGGAGACAGCAAGGCTTTTCTTCAGGAGGCCACGATTTGCTCATGTGGGGGAAATGGTTTTCATATCTGGGTCAGCACAGTTTGTTATAGGGTGACTAGGGCAGGACAGTGAAATGAACCATAAACCAGGCTAATTAAGTGAAACAGGAATCTGTTGCTGGAAGCTTGAGGTACCACGAGAAAGAAAATATCACTGGAATTTTTGGAACTCTTGGGAAAATGCTTTATGCTTCCATAATCCATTGTTTGGGGATCTGAATCTATTTAAAAGGGGTCAAAAGCCCCAGTGAATACTAACCGTTCCATGGGTAAGTTTATTTCTGGCTGTGAATCTATGGTTGCATCTATATTCTTCTCAGTTCCACTCCTAAATAAGTTGCTACTACTCAGTTCACATTTGAACAGCTTCCCTTTCCCTGTCTGTCCCAGATGAACATATTTGACTCTGACAATATTGCTAATTTGGCAAGGGCTGGGGAAATTCTAATCCTGTTCACTAATGTTCTGGCCATCCCTCCTATCTAGGAACTTAATGAGTTTGCTCTCTGCTCCTTTAAGCAGGTCACTGATGAAAATATTGAACAGAACCAAGCCTCAGAAATGTGCATACCAATGTAATCTTGAGTCCAGGGACTTTTCCAGCCCAGTTGCACAGTGAATTTGGTACCTTTACAACAGTTTGCATAAATGAATAATGCATACAACAGGGACTGTGTCTTACAACAGCTTATGAATACCCATTAGTCTCTCTCATTATTGCCAGTTTTTCTAAAGAATAAGAATTATTTAAAAAAATTTTCCATCCCAGAAAAATGCACAAGTCAGACATAGCTAAATGGATTTAGCTTGACCACTGAGCAGCAGCTGTTATGGGATTAAGGGAAGGTAACAGTCCTAAACCTAGAAGCTGACTCTAAGTCAGCTTGGTGTTTGGATGGTAAAGAAGGTGGCTTAAGGAGAGAGGTGAATTTTCCTGGCTTCTAATATGTGTGTATGTGAGTGAGTGTGTGTATGTGGGTGGTGTGTATATGGTAGGGGTAAGGGTAGGAGAGTCCAAACAAGCTAGAATTGTTAACTGTCTTAGAAGTTGTTATCCAAAGTAGGATGTTTAAATAGCACTGGTTATTTGATCTTGTCGAACTTTTGAGCTCAAAGAGCGTATTTTGAGGAGGGATGGGGCAAGTTCAGTTTGAACTCAGAGAGAGAGCCTCACACATTTGGAAAAAAGCCTTCAGAAACAGTTACTGGCTTCCAGCTGCTCACATCCCTTCTAAGGAAAATGTGTGAGCAGATGCCTTGTCAAGATGGGGATATAGCCTTCCTTTTTTAACAAAACTCATTTTATTGTTTCATTTTTATGGAGTCAGATAGGCAGGAGTACAATGTCTACTCTGGAGATATCTGCACGATCCTCTGTGTTACCTTTACGCTGTTTCCTTGGTGATGGTCAGAGCCAAGCTCATCGAAGCTCACTGTCCTCATGGCGACATTGACGCCTGCTGTCAACAGCACCTTCAGTGTTCAGCTTACGTGCGCCACCATTTTATTTTGTTGTCAGTAATATCTATAGTAATATCTTCCCCATTGAATATTGATGGTGCAAGGCCACTTCAGGAGTGTCTTATTTACAAAATGTATGTCTTATTTACAAAATGTATTGGAAAAGGGATATTTTAAATCTGAGATGGAACTGAGCTTTTAAAAACGTCCAGAGAAGAGTAATTTATTTTTATGGTTTACATCAGCTTTTAGTCACATAACTAAGGATACATATAAGCTAAAATGATTATAATTTGCTTCTTCTAAATATATTGTTCTTGTTTATTTTTCATTTGGGAAAGACAGAAGAAAGAATAGTCCTTCAATATATAATATTTAGATTTGCCAGAATTAGCCGTGGATTAGATACATTGTTTAGTTTTCCAAAACTGTGGGTTAATGTCAGGGTGCTCCTATCTTACCTTTGACTATTTCTTTTAAGATTCACTTTTAGGCTTCAGGACTTTCACCCATTCCCCATGCTAGCCAAGTTTCCCTCTACTATCGCCTATTGAAACCTGTGTTCTATGTCCCATTACTAAGACCTACCAGGTTATTACATGGGATGATAGATTAATGGGCATATTAAACTTGTGCTCCTGGGTGGCTCCTCCGTTCTCACCTACCTCAGTCCCTTCTCAGGTATCTTAGACTCATTGACTTCTTCTACCTTGACATCTTAAGCCACATCTGTAAATGTTCCATAGAACAGCACCAACCTTATTGTAAATCTGTATCCTGGACGCTTGTTTTTGTCAGATGATCTCAACCTTTTGGCTCAATCACCTTCTGAGATCCAATCACCTGCATCCTAGGCTCAACCAAATTTTGGGCTGTACTACCTTCTCAATGCTTCCTACACCTAGCCCAAACTGCTGCTTCACCCATACTACATAGGTTTCTAGCCAGACTCTCCAAGTACCATAATAACAGAAATCCAAAGTGGTAATTATTTACATGTATGATGCATGAATATGTTGCATACATTAAAACAGTATGCTAAAGTAGAAACTTAAAGAGGATAACATAAAAATAATTGTAATCACAAGTTCTGTTTTTTCCTACAGCTCAATGGATTGTCTTGCACACTTCTCTTTGGAGGCAAATGAACTCAGGCCACACCTAATCGAATAGGAATTCATATATTAACCTTCCAAAAATACATTTTATATTTGATTCCTTAAAGTTATAACTACAAGGAATGGCTCTCTGATGCATTCACTCATCTGCATATATATAAAGACTCCCTCTACTGGCTTCTAATCCTTCCTTATTCATAGATGGACTGTATAATTCTAATTAACTTGTTTACCTAGCCTTTTTGGGTTGGGAGATAAATTGAAAATATACAATGGACATGTTTAAATGAGATTCCACTTTTCTACCTTGCTATCACCCTCTGTTGCTTTCGTAATAAATTTCTTCCCCAGAACAAACTTTCTAGATGAAAATAACCAATGATCATGTCTCTATGAAAGACAAGCTAAAAGTTCATCTGTTGGGAATGGGTTTTAAAAATACGGTACATTTATACAAGATGGACTAGTACATAGCCATTAAAATTTTGTTTATTTAAAATATTTAATGACATAGAAACATTTTCCTGATAGG